GGTTGGTCACAGCGAATCGCAGCCGTGAAAGGTATGCATCAAAAAATGCAGACATCATCACATCGAAACAGCAAACTCCCTCAATTATCAATGTGTCATCAGCTTCCAAGTTGCTTTTCGGCTGGATGCACAGATGTACAATGAAGTGAATTCCACGTTATGGGGAATAAGAGGCATACAAGAAAAATTTTTCGCCTCTGAGACCTTGAAGCCGCACCTCTGAAGTGTAAGGCAGGCTCTAAAAAGCGGCATCCATGTCCCCCTACTCCAACTGCAAATATTACAGGATCTCACTCTGCCAATCGTTGTTAATGCAATAGAAGCTGATATTCGCTTTCTTTTTCTAAACGAATGTTCATTATTCGTACAATGAATTTTCACGTCAATTGTTGAACATGAGAAGTTGTGTGTTTCAAAGTTTGACTAAGCAAACTTGAGCAGCGATCGCCTGGCATCTTTCGAACACGAACTTGACCACCCTGACTTACAGCTGAATATCTTTATAACTTTATTTAGTATTAAATACACACTAAATTAACAGTTATTCTATTTTGCTTGAAACGTAGTTTCTATGTAAATCAAGAATTCCGTGAGCTCCCTTAGTGACGTCACAGAATTTGAGTCCACGCAGTCTGTAGTCTCTCTTGGCACAGAGCGTAGATGCGTCAAGTTGTCAACTACGGTAGCCGGATTATTTACAATAAGCGGTTCGTGAAACTCGTTCACGATTCAGATGTTCAGCAGGTAACTAATTTGAAAGGCCCTTGTGTCTGTGACTGATGTGAAGCGAGGTGGCTGCGGTGGAAATATTCACAATGGTTTGTCATCGCTTCTTTTCTTGCAGAAATGCCAAGTGCTCCACCGGCGCCGTGCAGCAACCATTTTCTTGGACGCCCGATTTCCGTCTCCGAGATAGACGAGTTATGGCGCATCGTACTTTTTACACAGAGGCATCTACAGTTGCTGCAGAGGACACTGCAGTTGACCAGACCTGACGAGTCGAACGCTCGACGACTCATCAGACTTCTGAATGAGACTCGTTCGCTCTTGCGTCGGCTACTGTATTCGATTTGAATTTTAAATTACGTACTGAAATTTTTCCTAGGTCTATGCACTTCCGGGGCGTGGAAGATGACGAAGGTCGCCATCCATCCCAATGACTGGTCGAACGTTTTGACGATGAACTGTATTCTGACGAGGAGTGCCATTTTTGTCGCCGGAAAACATCGTTGAATTAAACAGGCGTTTTGATCTTACAAATGCTTTTGGCAAGACGACGATGCATGCACTGAAGTTAGCCACGACGTCCTGTCAGTCTTTCAATCGCTAACGTAAATGCTGCAACGGCATGGCCGGTAAATCTCGATAAAATGCAGTTCACAATCGATATTATTACGAGAACAAAATCATATGTTTCAGCAGGACAAAGAAATTTCTAGGGGAGTGACAAGCATCATGTGTGCCAAATCCTGTGTGACATGATAACAAAACATTAGCATCATTATTGAATGTATGCTGTAAACTGATTATAATTAACATTATAATACCTTACGTTTTCTAACGTATTACCTTTTAGTGAGTCAGTGACAAGTATTATGTATGCCAAATCCTGTGACATGATAGCAAAACATTAACATCATGATTGAATAAATGCTGTACAGTGATTGTGATTAACATTATAACATGATACCTTACGTTTTCTAACGTATTACCTTTAGGTGAGTAAGTGATATTTTCAACATGTATGATGCTGATGTTATTTGAATCTAACGTAGCATCTGCCGCTGTTCTTTCAGCAGCTGGCCATGATTCTGATGATAAATACTGTCGACACGGTCGAATAGACGGAATCCTCTTAACATGAAAGATTAACGACAATAAAGCACTATCTGTGCATTCGAAGGGAAGGAACTGGACTATCAGAGGATGGTAGGATGATAGACTGCTAACAAAGATACTATGACTATATGCATTAATGATTTCATAGAAATGTGAAGTGGAAAGATTGGAATTAAAGAAAGCTATGCTTGAAGCCTTGGTTCAGACATCATTATTTTGGTTGTACTCTATCCTTAGC